ATGGTTCACAGTTTTTAAGTGTATTTGGTTTTTCCGAAAAGTATGCTTGCCCACTGTTATATATAGGGTGTTTGAAAAACTATTTGCAAAAATAACTCAACTTATTCCAAGTTTTTTCTTTTCATTTCCTTTTATTTCTTCATTTTATTGTATAGTCAACTTCTGGCAGAGTTTTAATGAAACTTTTGAAAATTGTGAGGAAAACATTGATGCCGAAAAAAGATCACATTGTCACATGCTGTCAGAGGGAAGTAAACCAGAAAAGTGTGCCGTGTGCCGTAACAGGTCGGAAAGAAATATTGGTCAAAAGATTAATTTAAATTGCCAGGAAGTTCTTAAAAACCAAATCTTTTAAATTGACATCGCCATTAATGCAAAGTTTTGAAGTGTAAAGATCAGCAATTTAATCAAGCAACATTTTATATCTTATTAAAACCCTTCATCATTTAGAGAGCAACTGGGAGGAAATATTAAAAAAAAAAAATGGAGTTAAAAAATGATTTAAATTTTTTGGCAAATAAATTTGTAAACAAATAGCATATTTATTATCTCAACTTTGCAAATTTCTTCTTTTGCCCATTTCTTTGGAGCTTTGCACAACTGCAAATTTGATGCTCTTTGAAACAACCAAACAAGCGTGACAGCAATTTCTAATCACAAGCATTGAGTACTTCTTCAGTGTTCAGTACTAAAATGATTGAATAAGACAACAAAAAAAAAAAGAGGAAGGAAGAAAGTAAGGGAGCAATAAACTAAGATATTCTACCATCTATAATAACTAAGAATAGTAAAAAAATTTTCAACAATAAAGGTGGTTTTTTGAAATGAAAAAAATTTAGTGATTTGTTCGTATAATTACTTATTCTTATTTTGCTGACTTTTGCTTCTTCAGATTCGTATTTGCTTCTATTTATCAAAGGAAAAAAAAAATCAACTAGCAGTAAAGTTCAGTGCAGTTTTTTTTTTCTTTTTTCATTGTCAACAAATATAGCATAGTTTTTATTACTGATTAATTGAAAAAAAAATTTTGTTTTCTTTTATTTTGCTTATCGTTCTGTTATATATTCGTTTAATTTTAAAACGGCTCTTTATTCTTCTCTTTCTTCATCTTTATTTGCGTTGGTGTATCCAACAAACTACAGAAACAATTACAACGAATGGTAAATAACCGATGACAGGTAAAGCTGATTTTTTTTTTTTTTTTTTTTTGAAAAAGGGGAGAGAGGGGATATTAATTTTAGAATTTCAAATGTGTTTTTTTTTTTTCTGTCTTGGTTGAATACCTGAAACATTTTTATATTTAGCAGACAGTAAAAACAGTTTAATGTGAAAGCTTTTAAAAATCAGCCAAAAATGGTAGTTTTAATAAACTGAAAGCAACAAAAGTAGGATAGAAAAATATAACTATAACTATAAATAATACTGTTCATTAATGCTAATAGTTTTTTTTTTTTGTGTGTGTGTGTATTAATGAGCCATAATCAAATATGGTTTGAATAAAAAGATGATAAAATTAATAACTTTTTATACTGTTTCTGTATGGCAAAAAAAAAAAAAACCTTTCACGGCCAATTCTTATCGTCGATCACTGGTCAAC